ATGCTGCTTCTCGGAAGTTGCTCATCGCTTGACTTTTCAGGCTCTCATAAGAGAATTAGCAAAAGACAGCTGTAATATGGAACAAAATGTTTGGCAGCTGGTCTTCAAGCCATCCTTACTATCAAGGGGTCCACCAGAGGTTTTCAGTTTGTTCTGTTCTGCCAAGTCGGTTGCATACTGACTTTACACCATGCGACCGACGATCAAATTGGTTGAAGATGATGTACCGCTTATCGGACAGTGCCATCGGAAGAGATTGAAGCGAGGCAAACATCCACGAACATATCTTGTTGTCAGAAAGCCGCATGTGACGGAAGCGTGCCTATTGGAGGGTTTCCTCCTGTGTCGAACCTAAAGAAACTGATAATACGCATTCTCTATTGTGTTTTAAGTCCACTTAATTCCGTTTGAGCTAGCACAATCCAGTGGGCATTCAGCACAAGACCGTCGTCAAACCCAGCCCTCTGTATGGGTCAAATCAAACGGTAGATGTATAAAGTTCCATTACATCTCCTACAGAACCGATTGTCGGAGTGTGTGTGTGTGTGTGTGTGTGTGTGTGTGTGTGTGTGTGTGTGTGTGTGTGTGTGTGTGTGTGTGTGTGTGTGTGTGTGTGTGTGTGTGTGTGTGTGTGTGTGTGTGTGTGTGTGTGTGTGTGTGTGCGCGCGCGAGCGAGCGAGCGAATCTGAGAAATCCAAACAATGTTTCCAAGTTGTGAACGTACACAAAAATCCAGAATTGTTTTCCATCCTCCCCGGGGCGTATGTTGTTTGAGGAGAATGCTGTCTGTTGGTTGTGTTTACCCGGTCCAGACATACGGGCCTTGGACCTGGCGAAACACCGTTGTAAACACGATCCGCTGTGTGCCACCAAGGCAACAGTAATGTCAATAAAAATAAAAACAACAACAACAACAGCAACGCAATCGCGACCCAGACAACGACTGCGATTCCGAGTGTTCGCTAGCCTTGTTTGTACAAACATGGACTAGCGAACTAGTGAAAACACCCGCGGGAGCGGATGCCCCCGATGCTGTTGTTTGTGCTTCTGTTATGATGATGATGATGATGATTGTGCCACGCCAGACGACAGAAACACATGGTGGGCCACCTGCAGATAAGCAGGAAGGGGGTAGGTAGAACGATGACAGCGAAAACAACAACAACAGCAACACAACGATGTTGTGATGGAAACTTCTCCGATCTCTAAGTCATCAGGACGGAATAGCACATTCAGCCGAGCTTTTCTAGGATTTGCTTTGTATGATCTTTTTACAGATAAGGACTACGGGTCTATTCGTGCTCGGTCCGACAAAATCCAATGACCTTCGCCAAACTAAGGAATAAGGATGTCGAAGAGTTTTCAGCAACCTCATGAGTAGTGTGTTACCTCTAGATGGTAAAAGGGAGATTCTTCCTACATCTGTATTCTTGAGATGACATGGGCAAAGCTAATTGGGACAGGGCTTCGCATGCCGTTTGAAGGCGTGCACTTGGGGTTGGTACCGACCCTAATAACTCGATCACTCGGATCTGAACGACAATGGTGTCAAGGCAGTTCGGGAACGCAATGTTTGGCTTTCTTCTCATTGATCTCATTGCAGTCCAGTGAGTGGATGCAGAATATCCAGGGGTATAGCATTCGCTGCTGTCTAAAGAGATAAAGTTGGATTTTGTTCCCATGGGCACAGCAACAATCGTCACAGCATGGGATGAAGTGCGTCAAAGAGCTCGCACCAAATTAGCGTGGAATTTTGACAGCACTGGTTGAAAACATGACTCAATGTTTGTTTCGTCTGCCGACCGGATTTGTATGCAATGGACTAATTCAGATCATCCGTGAGTTCCAGACAGCAACCAAAACTAAAGTTCAAAATCAGTTTTCTGAATTCGAGCGACAGGTGCATTCTGTCCCGGGAACAGGTTCCAGGGTAAAACAACTATTCATCAATATTCTCGGTTAGTAGTTAACGTTTCACAAAGTTTTCACAATTTTGAATACTTCAAAATTGATGGGAGCTGACTCTTCTGCCGTGTTGACTGCTGCATGTGAATTTCCATTAAAACTACACGACTTCCTTTTAATTTCGAATTTGGACGAAGGTTGGTCATCTCCCGAAACTGGGGGGGGGGGGGGAGACCAACAAAACCGAATAGCAAAGGGGGTGCGAAACTTCATGCCGAACAAGCAACGTTTTCTTCAAAAGCTTCCGGTCGTACTTTTGGTCAGCTTGGCCTTGATCTTGCGGTGTGAGCTGGAACACACACATGCAGAAAGCGCACATTTTATAGCGTCATTCCAGACACTTTCAAGGCAGTAAGGTTCGGATTGCGATTGATTGATTGATTCTCGAAGCAAAACTCATGTTTTAATCGAGTAGACAGAAGCCCTGAATGTAATCGTTCGGTCCCCTGAGATGTTTGGCAAGAGCAACCTTTCAGCGACTACAGAATAGGTTCAGTCATCTCGTTTTCCACTTGTCTTACCCTTCTCATCATGGAACTGAAGCCTCAGAACCGTAATCAACATTTCACCTTCTGGAAACTCAACCTGATTTTCACGTACTATACTATACTATACTATACTATACTATACTATACTATACTATACTATACTATACTATACTATACTATACTATACTATACTATACTATACTATACTATACTATACTATACTATACTATACTATACTATACTATACTATACTATACTATACTATACTATACTATACTATACTATACTATACTATACTATACTATACTATACTATACTATACTATACTATACTATACTATACTATACTATACTATACTATACTATACTATACTATACTATACTATACTATACTATACTATACTATACTATACTATACTATACTATACTATACTATACTATACTATACTATACTATACTACTATACCTGACGGTACAGTTAACTTGTTCATTTTCATGTACTGAAGGTCTCAAAACAGCAAATCTGTTGTACTCTGATAGCAGAATCTTCGGATTGATCAGCTGATTTGATGCTGCGCGTAGCAATCCAAGATAAATTGGTCTGCCAATACTACCCCCGGGGTCAATTTGAAACGCCTCCACAGCAATCGCCCTTTTTCAGCGCATAATACTAATAACTATCCCCGTCAACTTCTCATTATGCTAACTGCTGAATCAGCCCCAAGCTTTGTTTACAATTTTGTCTCAGTGTGGACTGATTTCCCAAAAAAAATCAGAGAACAAAACGGAGTTTTGACAATGTTGTTTTTTTCCTAATCAAAAGCAATGTGTTCTTCCCTCTAAAGCGACCGCTTCCAGCTCTTTCGGCGGCCGCTCTGGAGAGGTTTTATTCCAAAACAAGTGATTAATGTCGCTGTTCATTCATCACACCTGGATCAGCTGATGGCCTGCAATAGTTCTCTGCGTGTTCCCTTCGGACGTACAGCCTCACCAGGGGTTTCCACGTAGCATTTATTTCGGTTCAGTGCAAAAAAAACTTGTGGCTTGTAGCGACTCCCCTCTTTTCAACAAATTCGCTTGGTTTTACTCCGCACCAGTGTGAAATCAAAGAGATGACCACATTCTCGCTCGCTTGACAGTCACATAAACGAAAACACCTAGGCCTGATGTGGGTCAAGGTCGTAAACATAGCACCTGAGGCAAGTGGTAGTAGCGTGCACCTGTACTGATCAGAATGAGCGAAATGGTCGAACGGGTAAACAGCAGTCGCTGCTACAGGTTCCCACCAGAAGTTTGTTGACTCGTGACAGACAAATCTAATTTGGATGCCATCTATTAATTAGTCTGTTGATCCAGTTTCTTTACCACTCTCACTTCAGTCAATACGAACTCTCAGTAGACCAAGATTTTCGAGCAAAACCAGGAAACCGCCTAGTTCCTTCAGTTGTTGAGTGTGGCTCACACTTCACATGGCGTGATTGTGATAGCACTATTGGGTTTTGTGTTTCGACACTGCGCTCTATACCACAGTGTGAATGAATCGGAATTCCGCATCCTCAGGTCTTGTTTGAAAATACGATCCTTTGAAGGACGAGATGGCGAAATGGCCCTAGTGGTTAGAGCGCGAATTTACTGACCGGAAGGTCCGTCGTTCGAATCCGACCTCCGCCTCTCGACTTCCCCTGTCTAGGCTTGGGCAACTTGGCAGTATCTCAGCCCTCGTGCTTCCTTCGGGTGGCATGGCAGCTGGGTACCGAAAGGGTGCTACAGCTGAACGCTTTCTTTCTTCCCTTTGAAGGTTACTGGGTACATCACCACCCTACACATCCGTTTACTTAGTTTCTCATCAATGTCGAAGTATCTGCAAGAGCAGGGACAAAAATTTCCTCAAAGGAGTTCGCGCACTATTTGGACCTTACCGGATATGTATGCAACAACATCTCATCTCCATGATGGTCATCAGACTACTTGTTTTCACTCTGACTCCGTTCCAGAGCCCTGTTTGCGGCACATGAAAGGGAGGATTAGCTTGTCGACCGTGATTATGAAGCTCAGTCAGTGGTGATTCGGGATAGGGGCGAAGTAGGCGTACCATGTATCCCGATTTATGAAAAATGTCTACAGTGACAGAGTATGAATGAGTGATCCACGTATAAAGAACATTCCATAGTTCACATAGATATTTCTTCGAGGAGCGCGCCACATCGGGCCAAGTGACGCGTGACTAATGCATGGCTGGCTGTTTTTCTGTGCACGGCAATCGCATGGGTTATTAGCTGGGGGGCAGTTTGTTCTACCCGAAAAGTTGTAGGTTGGAGTCTCTTTATCTATTACAAACGAGGCGGTGCTGTGCACATCACTGGCGAAGAGGACGGCTGACACGTAGCTGGAAGATGAACCGTCGTGTCATGATTCTCCACGGTGTTTGATAAGTTAACCCAGGCTTTGTCCATTGGGCACCTGAGTAAATTGATCGTATCAGACAAATAAACAGAAAAACTGGAGAAAAAAGTCATGTATGGTACAACACTTTTGTGACCCAACTCACCTTCCATGTAGCTTCATTTTGTCGGAAATAGGCGAATTCCTTTTGCAGCCAGACATAGATTGCACTTAACGAGAGCTGCTTGCGTGGAGATTCCAAAATCGCTTGGCGAATCAGCGTGGCGTAGGTGAACCTGGGTCTGGCGCAATGGGAACGATAGTACTGGCGATGCGTGATGGAGCTGTTGTGTATGGAAGGGGAAGGAGGCGAGTCGTGACCGTGGCCCCCTTCACCGTCGCTGTCTGGTGGTAGACTTGATTGGGTACCTTTGTGGGAGAAGATAAATGGCATTATAGACCCCTGAATGCTTACCAGTTGTCAATCTTCAAGTGCTGTTTACTGTAACCAGTCTGCTGTCCCATAATGTTGAAAAAAAGCACTTTCTGAACAAACAACCGCATCAACCGGGAAATTGAGTGGCGAATCAAACGAATGATTTCGTTTCACTGTGGGATACCCTGATGAATTAGGCTTCCTTGTCTAGTGTCTGTTGACTTACATTCTGAAACAAGTTCTAACGAAGTCCACTGCCGAAGCGTGAGAACCAGGGCATCCCTGGCTTCTCTGTACCAGTGTGTTTAAAACATGTGTGTTTTGATTAGGATGTCAGCAAAACTGTTAACTCCTAGTACTTGGCCAAGCAGATCCCTGTTGGGACCAAAAACCTACACTAGTCTGACCAACAGTCGGCTGATTGAGCCGGAGAACAAAACCTGAGGGGCGGGAAGAAGATAACTTATCGGAATTCCATCAGATTTGAAATACCCAACACGATGTTCCCCTATCATCTCAAACTTGTAGCGGTTGATGTAGCCAATCCCGCCACATCAATAGGTTCTTTCTGACTGGACTCAACTTGGTTCGGCCGAAGATTTAGTACAACACAAGGGATACCCCAAACAAGATGAAACTTTCATTATCCAAGCCCAGAAGACATATAATCAGTGCCCCGTGAAAGAAACACAATCACAGAGATGTTCTGGGATTTCCTGGAGGTTTCTTTTGGGGGGGGGGCTACTGTGATAGAAAAACGGTACAAACAAAACGAAGCTAATTCGTCTTGTAATGCACTACTCATAAGGTTGCTGAAAACCCCTTATGAGTAGTGCATTACAGATTCAGCTGGATTCCAGGTGAGTCTCTTGCAAAACCCAATTAGTTTGCAAATGAGTGTATTTCGCTGAATTCTTGTTGTTTCAGCTTCCATACACGAACCCTTTTAGACATGGCAGAAAAGAGATTTGAATGACTCACTTTGGATTCCATCTTCCGAGGGCTGCCGCTTAATCATCTGATTGGTCGTCCCAGTGGAATCCATCAGTTCCATCGGGTACTCACCCTCCATCACTAGAGCAGCAGGTTCTTTGGTGAAACATGCAAACGATTGTGGTTTCTCGTCCGGACAGAAATCCAAACGCCGTTTGTTGTTCTCAAACCCATAGTAGGATGTGGATGAAGACGAAGGCGAGGAGGAAGTGTCGGAAACTCGAGGAAGCCATGTGGTCGAACATGGTGTGTTGGGGTGGATTTGTGAGCCGGAACGCTCAACTGTGGAAACTCCGTGCATCGAAGGTAGAGGAGAGCAAAGATGACCGGGAAAACTGGACACTGTGGAGAGTAGAGCTGCTGCTGCTGCGCTTGCAAGCAACGCTCGTTGACATGAAGATCCGTTCGGTATCAATGGATTGGGTAGAACAGAACAATCTGTTTGAGTGGAAAATGGGAGGGAGGAAAGGGACGGGACGAGAGGTGTGAAATTTGGCGCAGATGGGATCGGTTCAGGGGCGACGGACCCGCCTGTTGGCCAATTAGTTGTGGCCAAGTTGTGTATTGTACTTCGACGATGATGTAACGGTGCGGGCACTGTGGGTGAGGTTATGGTGGCCGAGGTAGACGCGACCTGAGACATCTGATCCGGTGTCCTTACGTTCACCCCGTTCGTAGTGGTTTGGAGAGTGTTTGTCGTGCTGTATTGTTGGCACAGCGTTGCAGACCCTGTGATGAATTAGCCCGGAATCAGTAAAGCGGAATTCGGGCATGAGAGGGAAGTTTAAGAAAAAAAACACTGGCACGGAACTAGCGGAGAAAAGCGGAAACGCCCTACCGATCCGTGTATATTGACCGGAGCTATAAAAATTACGGAGAGAGTGCACCAAGTTATTTTCTATAGGTTATATGTTCATTAAAAAGTGCATGGGTCCCAAACGCTGTCAAGTTTGACCAATAAAAACCATAGAGTCCTCCTCGTTCAGCTTTCCGCATAGTGAGTGCATTTGTGTTCAATCCTGGTAATCTGTACATTCGAGGCGTGTGTACACCAGACTGTCTGAGTGTGTAAACTGAGTGCAACCATCCAACTTCGTTTCAATAGATAGACCCGTACTGAGTGCACTGGGAAGGGATTTACACATCCTAGCGCCGGTTAACTGGATGCACGAGCCGAGTGTCACCTTGCCTTATCGAGCTTGTTGGTACCAGCCTCTGCAACACCCCCCTTGTTACAAATTCGTACGCTGTTCAAACCCAGTGTCATTCACAAGTGTCAAAATGATTTCCATTCGTCGAGAGAAAAAGTCGACAGATCCCAGGTTTGGATTAACCACAAGGCTGTCATCATTTGCTTAAAGTAAGAAACTCCATTCTTTGGAGCGAACCCATTAAATGGTTGGTAAATGGCAAGGAATGAATAGTATCTTTCAGAAAGTCTGCCGAAAAACAATCTGTGGACTGCCAAAGTCCTTCAGCATGTATCCTGTCAGAAACAAGTACACTGCATGTCATAGGGAC